GTTTCAGCGAGCGCACAGAAATCCCCCAGCGGGTGCCATGGCGCCCACGGGCACTGCATTGGGGACCACTGAGTTAGATGTCTACAAGTCACCAGGACCTGAAGAAATGTATCCTAGAATACCTTCACTCAGCTCCTTGAGCCATTAACAATTATCTTTGAAAAATCATGTAAGACAGGAGAGATCCTATAAGTCTGGAAAAGAGGAAATAGAGCTCATCTTTGAAAAGGGAAATAAGGATGACCCAGGGAATTCTAGACATGTCAGCTTAACTTCTGTGCCCAGAAAGATAACGGAATAATTAAGGACTCCATTTGCAAACATCTACAAGGGGGATAATTAACACAGATTTTCAAGAACAAATTACATCAAACCAATCCAATAGCTTTGGCAAGATAACAAGGTTTTGTGGATGGGGGAAAAAATCCAGTAGATGTGGTATATGCGGACTTTAAAGCTTTTGATTCAATCTCACGTGACTGTCTCATTAGCAAGTTAGGGCAATACAACCTAGATAGAGCCTCCAGATAGTTATGCACACACCTTGTATAGATAACCATTCCCAGAGAGCATAATGCTAGAGGGCATCATGAAGGGGTTCCAAAGGAATCAGCTCTATTTGCCATTATCTCAATCATTGGTTAAGAGAGTACACTTCTAAAATTTCCAGGATACCACCATGCAGGGGCTACAAGTTCTTTTCCAGATTACAAGTCAAAGTGATCTGGACAAACTGGAGGAATGGTCTCAAGTCAACAGGATGAAATTCGGTAAGGATAAGTGCAAAGTACTCCACTTAGGGCAGAACAATCAGTTTCACATACATGGGAAATGATTGCCTAGGGAAAAGTACTGCAGAAAGAGAAGCTGAGTCAACAGTAACAACCCAGAAGATTTGCATTTTTTTGCATTAATGGAATGTTGTAAGCAGGACAGAAGTAGTAATTTTGTTTATTCCACGCTGATTATGCTTCAACTGTAGTACTGTGTACAGTTCGGGGAGCTACATTTTGGGAAGGATGGGGAGAAATTAGAGAAGGTCCAGAGAAGAACAAAAATGATTAAAGGTCTAGAAAACGTGCGTAAGAGGGAATATAAGTTGTGTCCCCCCCTCAATTCAATCTTCTTTTTCCAGGCTAAACAAAACCTACCATTATCTAAAAGGCTGTTACAAGGAGGAGGGAGAAAATTATTCTCCTTAACCCTTGAGGTCACAACAAGGAGCAATGGACTTAAATTGCAGCAAGGGAGTTTTAGATTGGCAATTAGGAAAAACTTGGAAACTGTCAGGGTGGTTAGTACTGGAATAGATTGCCTAGGGAGGGTATGGAATTTCCATTGGAGATTTAAGAGTAGGTTAGAGAAAAACTTGTCAAGGGTGGTCTAGATCAGTGTTTCTGCAGTACACTTTCAGAAACACTGGTCTAGATGGTGCTTGTTCTTGCCTTGAGTGCATGGGACTGGACTTGATGACCTCTTGGTTCCTTCCAGTTCTAGGATACTACAGTGGATGCATATGTGCCAGTAAAAGAACTTTTAAGTGGCTTCACAACCTGTCTCCTCCCCACAACCCCGCCAAAAGGAAAAAAAAAAAAAATCTAGTTTCAATTTGGAGTTGGAAGACTTGTCCACAGTGGGTATTTATGGGGGCAAATCTATAAAGCTGTGTTTCCCCATTACTGTAGCCAAGGACTTTAGAATCAAATGTGCCAACTCACTCTATGGGTACGTCTAGACTACATGCCTCTGGCGACAGAGGCATGTAGATTAGGCTACCAGACATAGTAAAATGAAGTGGCAATTATTTAAATCGCCGCTTCATTTTACTATGTCTGGTAGCCTAATCTACATGCCTCTGGCGACAGAGGCATGTAGTCTAGACGTACCCTATGGCAGTGGAATAGTGTATGTCTACGTTGCATTCCACTCTTCCAGGGTCTCCTTTATCAGCACATCTTAATGTCACATGTGCACTCATTAAAGCTAGGGTAGTAATTTAATAGAAGCAAATGCAAACAAACGAATTGCAACTGAAGTGCGGATTTGAATTTCCCATGCTTCATTTGCATAATTGCAGCTTGCTGCTTTTCCAAAATACTGTATTTCAAGAAAAAAATGCGGTCCACATGGCATTATTTCAAAAAGAAACTCCTTAAATGAGGTTTAAGGGTTATTTTGAAGGGTAAGGGTTATTTCAAAAGAAGGGTCTCTTCAAAATTACCATATTTTGAGGAAAAACAGGGTTATTTCTAAAAGAAACCCTCCTTTTGAAATATCACTTACTCTTTAAAAAATGAGGTTTAAGGGTTATTTTGAAGGAAGGGTTTCTTTCTGAAATAGCCTTGTGTGGACTGCGTTCCCCCCCCCAAAATATGGTATTTCAGAAAAGCAGCGGGCTGCGATTATGCAAATGAAGTGTGGGAAATTCAAATCTACACTTCATTTGCAGTTTCATTTGTCTGCATTTGCATTGCTCTCTCTCAGGAGGAATGCAATGTAGACATACCCATAGGGACCAGACCATAGCTAGTAGTGGACTTGGTTTCTCCAGCCAAATCAAAAAGTCAATTTCTTAAAAACCCCAGAAGGCAAAGCAATTGTTTCACTGAATAAAACATTTGCATGCCAGTTTGAAAATGTTTCTGAAACGGTATTCAAATTAACATTGTTTTGAGATGTGAAGTTTCCCCCCTTCTAGCCACCTACCTTTTTTTGGCTGAAACTATTCACTGAATTCACAACTTGCCAAAAACTAGACTTCAGAGCAAGTTAACTCTTAGTTAAGAAGTTTGGCCAGCTCTAATGGGGAAGTACAGATATTTCCTTTTAGGGACAGGTTATTGGTCAGAGACTGAACCATTTGCTCAAGAAGTCTGTGAGGGAGTAAGGAATTCAACCCAGGCTAGTGTTCCATCCTTCCTTTCATAGAAGACAGGACCTCAGTGCAGAGTAATTCTTCATCAAGGCCTTCTGTGTTGGTGAATGTTTGAAACAGGGCTTGGATTTCAACGTGCAGCAACTCTCACCCCTAATTCTGGATCCAAGTCAAAATACAAGCCCAGGCTGCCAGTTAGTCTCCTGTTCTCACTGGCCTCTCTTGGAATGGGGCCAAGAGGCTCTGTAAAATTCATCTACCTAGAGAAGAAAACCAAGTAGTTCATCAACATGACATGTTAGAAGATTGTGCACGTACCCATGATACTAAAGCCTCCTGGAACGTTGATCAGACATGGTCACCAGAGTCACACGACAGATTAAAGAAATTCTAAATTCTGCAGGCAACTAACCAGGAACAGACCAACATCCTACCAGGCATGGATCCAAATCTTTGCTCTCCTCTTCCCCTCTCCAGATGGTCAGCAGTATATGCAACACACAAGGTCAAGAGTCCATCACTGCCAGCTGCTGCCTGCCTATCTTGCTGCCATTGCATGATGCTGTAACAGGAGCTGACAGATGAGAAGAGTGCCCCCAGAAAGCACCCTCTATTACTCTGATCCACGGGTCCTTGCACTGGCTAGTGGGCAGAGACTCGCTCACTCCCATTTCTGAGTTTCACATTTTGAAGCTGGTCACTAGTCAACCACCTAAAGCTGCTAGCTCATGGGAGGAAGACTTAAAGATCTGTCCCAGGGTTGTCTTTTTGCACACGGTAACTAACTGGAGCTTGGGGGAGGGGAAGAAGAAGGGGAGAAAGAAGAGAGGGGAGGAGAGTGGAGTGTTAAACCAGATGCCATGAGGAAAGGAAGCAGCTAACAGGAGAACAGATTTGTATAAGTTGACAGAACAAAGAAGAAAAACAAGTATCAACAAGACAGACAACCCAGCCCATTAGCTGAACACAAAGCAGATCAATTCTCAAGTCTCCCCTTACTTCCAAAGCAAACAGAAATAATCCAAGGATTCACTTTATACACCACTATGCGATTCACCACTGCAGAGCTCTATCACATGCAGCTAAATGTTACTAACAGTAACTGAAAGCCAGCAGTGAAAGCTCACTTTCCAAACACAGGTACCTTACTATCCGCATTGGGTGATTAAGTGGACGTTTAGGCACCTAAAAATTAGTCTGGGGGCCTAAGAGTCCAGCTGGCCAGTCTAAGAGGTCCAAGTTTGAAATCCAGGCCTCTAGTAGCTAGGCCTCTAGTAGCTAAGTCCAGACAGCATCATAAAAGAGAAAAGCCTATTGACAAATAGCTTACCAGCACTACCAGCATGGGAACAGGGAAGAACTGAAGAGTCCGATAGGACCTTCAGTACCTGAATTGTTGCTACAGTTCATAAGAAGAGTTGGCATTTTGTCAGGAGCAAGACTACCCTCCCAGTTGCCACTAGAGACACCCAGCTAATACTTTGAACTTACATAGCACTTTTCATATCTAGGTTCCCAAGCAGGTTAGACTGGTGCGTAAGGACTTTCTTCCAATTTCACAGATGGGAAAACAGCACCACAGAAGTCAAAGTGACTTACCTGAAGTTACACAGTAAGATACTGGCAGCACTGGGATTAGCGCCTATGTCCGACTACTAGTCAGTTTTCCTTCTGAATCAAATGCATTTGCATGACACTATAGTGTCTGTCCTATTCCCAGTGCCCAGAACACCAACCAGAACATGCACTGCTCTTAGCAGATAGTAAAGGCACTTGAAGCATGAACATTTTAGGAGGGATAGAAAGGCTACCTTGCTGAGTGGAGTTGTGCATGTAATACATAGTCAAGTTTTAGAAATTCTCAACACAGAACAAGGAAGACGTGTCCTTCTGCACCAAAAGCAAAGGCTACAAGATTGGGTTGCTCAACAGGCACTATTTTCTGAATAGCTTTAAGTGAAGGGTTCTGAGCAATGACACCACAAGGAAAATGACCAACCATTGTAACCTTACCAGCTCATGTGTACTGGAAAAATTATTCCCGGTTAACAATTCAGTCACATGAATAAAATAATCATTTGGGAAATACAGCTAGCCAGCAAACTGGTCAGCAGCAAAGCCCTACCATTTCATCTTGTGCAGGGTCGTTGTCAAAAATCTTCATAGGAGGAGGAAGTGGTGTGTGGGATTCTTCATCTGGCTCATCTTCTCCCCAACCCTTCTTGCTCTTCTGAAAGCAAGATCGCCATTAGACTCAAAGAAAGGGCAGTTATATGAAAAACACCACTCCAGAGCCTAGCTAGCAACTTTTATGCTTATTTCTAATACAATAGCTATATCAACATAGATATGGGGAAGGGAGGATGATAAGTCTGGCTGCCATAACACAAAGGGAAGTAGTAAATATTTAATAGAGAGGCCAGTCAGGAACAATGAGGAGAAGAATGAAGTGAAAACACTTTTCCAAAGGAAGGTGTTGAAAGCCATTAAGCAGCTCATGGGACATTTTAACAAACTTCCTATTTATTCTATTACCCAGAGGCCATTTCTAGTTTATGTTAATAAAATGTATATTAATAAAATGATAAACTTGGAGTTTCTCCCCCCATGCATTCAAATACTGTGACCTTCATTTTCTGTTCAACTTTCCAGCTAGCGCTGCTGACAGTGTTGATAATGCAGTATGTTCTAGACCAAGTTTGACACAGGGAAACTGTTATTGCTACAGATAACATTTAACAAAAGAATTGGCATGGCTTACAAAAGTCAGTGTTTCCTTTAACTCAGGAGGTGGAAATAAGCTGGTGCACCCCCGTGTGCCGCTCCAGGAAGAAAAGCCAACATCTGGTGTGCTCCAAGAACTCTCCTGAAAGCTGCAGTGCTAAGAAGCCGACAGCCAGGCAGGTTTAAGGGGACCGTCCGGAGCTCACCCCCACCTTCAGGGACTGCCTCAACCCCCCCCAGAAGCATTTAGGGAGGACAAGGGGGCTGAAGCCCTCCCCCTGCGATTTGTACCAGGACACTGCTCCTCTTTCCCCATCACTCACCGGGAGAGGCAAGTATGCAACCAGCATGCACTGGGGACTGCAGAGGAGTGAGTGACCCATGCTGTGTGCGCCCCTCACTCCCGGGCAGTAATGAAGGGGAACAGTGGGAAGCATCCTGGTGTGGATTGGGGGGGGGCATTCAGCTCCTTGCCACCTTCACTCCCCAAACACCTTATACAATCTCCCCAACCCCCGCGCCCTGCCCCCCACACTCC